CTAACTCGAAAAAACTGTGCTCTCGGGTGTAGATGTGACAGGTGAGGAGAGGGGGCTCGTTCAAACAGACAGAATAGAAGAGAACAGCAGTACAACATCACGTTAAAAGGTATAGCTGCGACATATTTACATCCACTTGTATTATCTCAGACTTCAGCAGTAGAATTTTATGGATCTAAAAGAAACATCTGTATTTTTCCCAAAACAAAAAGCATCTATACAGAAAAATGTCTAATGTTTCTGGTTGTGGCTTGTTACACGTGTCAGGCCTGTAGTGACACTGAAAGTTCCCAAATCAAGATTTTTTTCCTTTCTCCTCTTCTGCCATTCCTGTCCACCCTTCTCTCTGTCTCCTCCTCTGCTCACGTTTCTCCTCCTCCTCCTGCTGCTATCTCTTTCTCCAACAAAAAGGCTATTAATAGAACACCCTGCGCTCTCTTTTTAAACTGAAGGGAGCATATATTGTGCACTTAAAGGGAGGAAGAAGCTCAAGATACCAGGAGGCGTTTGAAAATGTCCTCCACGCTGCCCGAGGCTACAAAGACGCTGGATGTCCTAAGAATAACAACAAAGAGCCTCTGATCGATTCATGGCATTTGGTATCAGCGCAGACGCTCTTCGGCTAAATTTAGCTCCTCAAATCATTTTGCAGATTAAATACTTTTGCGAACAATGTGATGTGAGGGGAAAAAAGGGCTGGATAAACATTTGAAAAACACCTCTCATGTTTTCAGTCACTCGTGCTTCTTCCATATAAATAAATATATATATAAAAAAATCAGAATTAAAGACACACAATAAACACACTGAGAGCAATTTCAGTTGAATTATTATTGGCTTCATTATTGATATTACTTTGTCAGGGTTATGATCATTTGGAAGGATTATATGCATTTTTTTTTTTTTTTTTAAGTTCACATGTTTTTCTTGTCCATAGATTGTCCTTTTTGTCTTGTAAAGTGCAGATAATACTACGTTTTAAGTCCAGACTTCACATACAGTATATAGTACATGGTTTTTGCTCCATCATCCACTGGTTATTATTTACATTATTCTCTCACATTTCATTTCATAGAAAGAAAATCAATTATCCACTGTACCAATGTTGATGGATGTTTTCAGGCCTCTATGATGTGGGGGAGGACGTGGGGGTGGGGGTGGGGTGATGAGGTGAACAACTTGAACAACTGTACATATTGTTTCAGTGGATGCCACACTATCAGGCTCTGGGGTCAAATGAAACAAACAAACAAAAAAAAAAATTGTTCTTTCTCAAACACCCACATGCATACAGATTGCATATTGATCATCTTGTTTCCCGTATGTATGAGTTTCTTTGTTGGGTTTTTTTTTTTTTTGTTGTCGTTGTTGTTGTTCATGTAGGAGCCTTGTCTCAAAGAGCTGACATCGCAGTTCAAACAGACCCCGAGGTTCACAAAGCTCATATTCACATTCAGCTAACGTTGTTGAGTGTTTGACGTGCAGCAGCAGAATATTGCAAAGTGTTTCACTTTTCCTTAAAGGTTTGTTTCAAATGCTCTGCCAGCTCTCAGGATCAACGTGTAATTAGTGCCAGATAAAACACAAAAATCTGTTCTTAAACCTTCTTTTTTTTTTTCCTCAAAGAAAAAAAAAAAAAAAAAAAAAAAAAAAAAAAAACAACTACCAGCTAATAATCATTCTCTGCATAGATTTCTCAGTGTATTCACTGTTGGGCACCCTTCTCATGGAGTGGATTTGCTGGTGGGTCCCTCAGCAGGTGAGAGATGATTTTTTTTTTTTTTTTTTTTTTTTTTTTTTTTTTTTAGAGGCTGTGGTCTCCCTATGAAGCAATACAAGATCACTGTTAGTTGACTTGGTTTCCACTGAATAAAAACATTGTACAGGTTCGATCTGCAGGTATACAGATGAGGATGATTCTACTCGTCTTTGTGCTTTAAGCAGAAATAATCGTCAACTACACCGTTGTGTTTTCTGGTATGTGAGTTGCTACAGTGAATTTGGCTGAGGTACAGTAACATTTTCAAATGTAAAAGATAAATGTTAACATGTATCGGCAACATTTATCAGGAAAAAAAATGGAATGAAGACAAAAGGAGATGATGCATTTACATGCATAGACAAATATTTTTGGTCAGACTGTGAGTGTGTTTTTTTTTCTCCACATATACAGATATGCAAATGGCTGTTGCATAAATGCAGCTGCACATCCAGGCTAAGACACTGACATTCAGTGGTTCTCTCTCTTTCTCTCTCACATATGTACACGCATACACACGCACACACACACGCACACACACACGCACACACACACTCCTACATAGCTCTGCATCAACTCAACCACATCAATACTCAACTGATGATCAATAAGATCTTGGTTGGACTGTGGAGGCCCATAAAGGTTCATTCTTTTTTCTTTTTTTTTTTTTTTTTTAAAAACTGAAAACTTAAAAACCCAAACATCTATGTTCTCCATACAGACCCCTCCACCAAAGGATTATGGGAATATTGCTAAACAACTATTTAATCAGGTCCTATCCTCGGGTTACTGACCATTTTAACATGTCAATCCACCTCTATGCTTCTCCTGGGAACGCAACAAATATAACCGCTCAAGTTCAGATTCTCTAAAAATCCTTTTCAAGATGCATGAAAACAAACAGGGATTTTGGACAGAGAGACGACCTCAGAAGCCTCATGTCAGGCAGGTGGACGAGGCATCCTGAGCACATATTGGCAGCGATGGCGTAAAAACATTTTGCTACTGCAGGTTAAAGACTGTAGTGAGCAGAATGAAACCCTAAGAATAAAGATGTACATCCTGGCATGACAGAATTCATTTAGACAGTTCTTGCTACAGACCTCCTCCTAATCCATCACCTTTCTAATTACCTAAGACATCCATGAAAAGATGGAGAAAGGCAAGAGACTCAGGAGTGAAGTCAGAGGACCCCTTGCCAATATCTGCTACACTGCTGCTAATTATCACTTCCCATATTGACGTTACTGCCTTTGACTGTTACCTTGGCAGTGTTGAGCAAACGGAGGAAAGTCTCAGCTGGACACAATCCTAGAATCAGAACCTAATTCACATTTGATGCCAACTTTTAAAGACAGATTGAGCTTCTGGCATCAAAGACTTTCTCAGGAGACAGCCAGACTCCATTTAAATTCTGACCAGTTTAACGCCAATAAAAGCTTTCTGATGTAAGAATCTGGTTTAGGGATGATACAGTTTTCAACAGCGCCCTGTCTTTCAACAACTACTTCACAGAAGGCAGTTTTGAAATAAGTGAGGCAAACTTTCAGTATTCAAATCCAGGACATGTGTCAGGTTTGCTGGGTAACTCACCAGTGAGGAAAATGTTTTTTTTGAATCGGCTAGTAAGAGTGTGTCTTTGGCACTCTGAACAGGCTCTGAAACAGGAGAACATAGAACAGTGCTCAGAACAGTTATTATTATCGTTAGAAGTAAAAACATGGCGATGACCTGCGTATTGTGGAAAGACTCTCACTTTCTTTTAAACGTTGCTATTTAAGTTTTTTTTTTTAGTTCTCTGATAAAAGTATCTGTGTATTGTATATGTGTCTTGTCTGTATACATATATATTTTTTTTAATATATAAGAAATAAATATATCTATTGTATAGAATAATTTTTTGTCTCAGAGGCTTCTTCTTCGAGTTTAAACGCATGCTTCTAGGAATGTTTTTGAGGTCATGCAACACTAGGAGAGTAGCGTAAACCCAGATAAAAAGGCAGTTCAGGGGAAGCATTATTCTATACACGAGTCCTTAAAAGTTGCTATTTTGATCAGGAGGATGTGATCATGTGACAAACCTGTGAGAAAGACAGCACTGCAAGTCTACCGTATCTGCAACTGGGATTAATGTCCAAAACTGGAGTGTGAGTTTACGCCTGAAATCACAGCTCAGCTGCAGCAAAAGTTGAACAGCAATGACTCCTACATGGAATGTTAATATTGACGAGGACACCGCATCCTGTTAAGCGAAGGATTTGGGCTTATGATTATTCCTTAAGAAATCCTCTAACATACAGCTTTAAGTTTTTTGAAACAGCTACCTGCAGGCATACTTTTAAAACTGTGGGTTTGTATAGAAGGCAGTGTACAGACAAATATACAGTGGTGTGATGAAGCAAGTGGCAGTCGAGAAACAAGTGGAAATTCTCATTCAGATAAAAATGTCATGCAATAATCTACTGACTACATTTACTACTAACAGCACCTACCTACCTACCTACCGGCTATCAGTTAAGTCACAGTTAACCTACCTATCTATATGAATACGTACTGTATGTGTGAAACCGTGAAAAAAACAAACAAAACAAGAAGAAACATTCAAGCTGTCCTCAAAGCTCTGCAGTAAGACCAGTTTGGGTGAATGGAAGGGGGAAAGCTTGCATTGCAATACATACAGTACATGTAAGACCAAAGCAGTGAAAAGTCAAGGCCATTCTCAGTCATTCATCAGATACTGATGTCTACTGGGAAAAAAAGGCGTCGAACCATAAGCTTAGCGCTGATGGCTGTCATTCATCCTTGAAATAACGTGGTGTACTTAACCACGGACCTCGTCACAAGTCACCCACAGGCCACATCAGCGCTGGAGTGAGCTTGCTTTATGCTAACACATCCTCTTATCTCTAAATGGTGTAGCATAAGACAGTTTTGTTTCATTGGCTCCAGGAAGCAGCATATGTAGCGCGCAAGTAGGGCTCTTCAGAAAGCGCATGGCAGAGCGGTGTGCCTTGGGAAATGAGGGACCGGGGGACGGGGGACTAAAGCAGGGCTTGTGTTGTGTTGCTTTCTTTAAGCAATAATTAATTTTTTTCTTGCAGTGTTTCTCCCTTTTTCTTTTCTTTTTGTGCACTACTGTTGGCTACTGTTGTGAGCAGGAAATTTTTAGGTATCATTATTATTTTTTTTCTTTTTCTTTTTTTTTTTTTTTTTTTTTTTTTTTTAAACAGCCACACAGACAAAGCCAACTCCATGCAGAAATACAAAATTTGAGATTTCACTCTGTTTGACAGTAATCAGAAGTTTTAAGGGGCAAGTTGTGAGGAGTGAAGACAAGATGAGCGCAGAGTGAGCGAATGGTCTATGTAGTATTTTTTTTTTTCCACTGTCTATCATCATCATCATCATCATCAACATCCTGAAATCTATTGCCTTGATTTTTCCAGCACACGTGAGGTGGTGAGCTGTACACCTGTCCCGTCCAGTTGCTCAGCTCCACATTTCCGGCTGTCACGGGGAGGAAAATAGCAGATGACTACACGTCTGTGAGCATTTTGGTGATGTTTACATAGTTTGTGTTGGCCAGTGTGCAGTTGGCAGTCTTGAGGTTCTCCTCCTGAAAGTCCTCATTGCTGTTGTTCACAGCCTCCTGGATCTCCATATAGTCCGATTTACTGATGGTGGAGCCGCTCCGGCTCTTCTTCAGCTCCTCCGCTGAGTCTGCTTTCTGCACGTTGACCTGCAGATACTGCGCCTGCTCTTCACCCTCAGTCTCACGGTGATAGAAGTAGTTGAAGTTGGACACAATGACAGGCACCGGCAAGGCAATGGTCAGCACACCTGCAATGGCACAGAGGGAGCCCACGATCTTACCACCGATGGTAGTCGGGACCATGTCACCATAGCCGACTGTTGTCATGGACACCACAGCCCACCAGAACGCATCCGGGATGCTTTCGAACTGTGACTCGGGCTCGTCTGCTTCAGCGAAGTAGACGGCACTGGAGAAAAGAATGACCCCTATGAAGAGGAAGAAGATGAGCAGGCCGAGCTCTCTCATGCTGGCTTTCAGGGTCTGACCCAAAATCTGAAGCCCCTTGGAGTGACGAGAGAGCTTGAAAATTCTGAAGACTCGTACTAAGCGGATGACCCTGAGAATGGCTAAAGACATGGCTTGCTGACCGGCTTGACCATCCTCTGGCCTGTCTGCTAGCTCTGTGCCAAGAGTGATGAAGTAAGGGATGATGGCAACAATATCAATAATGTTCATTATATTACCAAAAAAGCCTGCTTTGCTGGGGCAGGCAAAGAAGCGCACCAGGAACTCAAAGGAGAACCATATAATGCAAAGAGTCTCCAGGATAAAGAAGGGGTCAGTGAAGTAGGTGGAAGTGTAGCTGATGATGGTGGTGTTGGTCTCAGGTGAAAAGACTGCCGCATGAGACTTGTGCATTTCGTCCTCATCGTTGCGGAAAATGGGCAGGGTCTCCAGGCAGAAACTGACTATAGATATCAGGATGACCATTACAGAGATTATGGCGATAATCCTAGCAGGACCTGAGCTCTCTGGGTACTCGAACAGCAGCCACACCTGTCTCTGAAACTCATTGTCAGGAAGGGGCCGCTCTTCCTCCTTGATGAAACCCTCATCTTCTCTGAACATCTCGATGGCCTCCTCACCCAGCTCGTAGAAGCGAATCTCCTCTGAGAAAATATCAAGGGTGACGTTGACCGGCCTTCTTAGCCGCCCCCCTGATTGGTAATAATACAATATGGCGTCAAAGCTGGGTCTGTTCCTGTCGAAAAAGTACTCGTTCCTCAGCGGGTCAAAGTACCGCATCCTCTTTTTGGGGTCACCCAGCAGAGTCTCCGGGAACTGGGAGAGGGTTTTGAGTTGTGTCTCAAAGCGCAGCCCTGAGATGTTGATGACCACCCTCTCACAACACTCATGGTCGGCCTCCGGGTCGTAGTCCTGCGGGTGCCCCGGGTGTGCAGCCGCCTCATCAGAGGGGTCGCCTGTGGCAACAGTCATTCTGCAGGGGGAGGAGGCCTGCACTTTTCAGTGAGTCTGGGTCCTGCAGCCTGGAGAACTGCAGGCAGGGGCCAGGAGAGGGAGGGGGCTCAACACCGTAAAGACCTGACGGCCACAGGATGTCACCTAGGATCTGACTGCATGTAGGACAGATAAAGCAAAGACAGACAACAAGGTCAGGTAAACCTGAAACATGATTCAGCACTCAATACTGCTTCCATGTAGTCCACAGGCAACAGGACTTTGCTTTAGAGGCTCAAACAGCTCAAAACAGATGCAAATGAAGACACCCTCTAAAACAATGGCATAAGATTAGATATGAGTTATGTAAAGTTAGACTGTCGTGAGGAGCCAGTCGACACCAAAATGCATCAGCTCATGGAAACTACTGCTCCTGACTTGGGGAAATTAATATGCAAATAACAATCCGCCTTGCATATAAATTGCTTCAATGCAGGTAAACTCAGAGGCTAACTGGCATAGAAAACGTACAGAAGCTCGTAAATTAGGACACTGATCTGCTGCAATGGACAATATCCAATGAAATGAATGGGTATACCTTTTGCAGTGAAGCCATGCATGAATATGGCAATGCAGCAGGCACCAAATTCATACAGACAGCATCCTGTCTAGAATATCATAGATAACCACTGCAGTCTAAACACAAACGTACCAGACACTTTTAAGATTTCCTGCTTGTGCCACACAAACACACCAACACATCATATTAACTGACTTCAGTTTTAGTTTTGTTGGAGCATTTTAGTCTTGAAATGGTGCCTGTCTCTGAAATATTCAAAAACATCTATAAATAATTTATCCATAGAAGGAAATAGGTTCCAAGAGAAAAAACTGTATCTCTTGTGTCTGCATCATCTCCACTCTCAGAGCGGGAGCACAGTTTCACAAAAATGAAATCCTCATGAAACATACAACAAATATGTAACTGCATGTTTACTGGTCATTATCACGATCTCCAGTGAAGAGCAAACCAGTGCATGAACTATGAAATGCCACGACTAAAAAAAAACCCCACATCTTAATCGAAATTAGAGATGATAGGTGAACGTAAGCTGCCTTATATCTATTTCATACATACCTGCTGACATCTTCTTCATATCTGGATGCGAGTGTAGGCTCCTGCTGGACACTGGTATCAGGAAGGTGAAAAACCAGCTGCGACAACCAGGTCTTCTGTCTTCAGAGAGGGTTAAAAAAGAAAAAAGAATTTTCCAATTCGGGACAGTCGATGATATTCACCTCATGTTGTCTGCAGCATCCTCGCCGTGTACACCGGGTACAGTAGATGCGGGTGTGTCCTCGCTTTCCCCTCCCCGACTCCTTTCCTCCGGGTAGGCTGTCGTGGGATGGCGATTGGCAAAAAAGGGAGGAGGGATCCGATCAAGGAGGTGCTGGTGCTTCCCTTAATAACCAAAGGTGCTGGGATCAGCAGAATGATCTGCCTCCACTGTTCCCCTCCAACGCCTGTGTGACTGTGTGACGAGCTGTGGCTGCAGACAGCCGCAAAGGTAAATAGTCCTGATAAGGTGCTCAGAGAGGCAACATCTGCAAAGGGGGGGGGGGGGGGGGGGGCGAGGAGGTGGGAGAGGGCTTAAAAAAAAAAAAAAGGATAATCTTATTACCAAGATTTAATAATTAGACGCGTTCAGGGACGTGCGCATCAATAATGAATCCTCTTTTCATTTCAAAATGAGAATAAATCTGCCGCTCAGAGAATTTAAATGTATTCATGCGTCACTCAGCCAATTTACATTTTTTTTTTCATTTCTAATTCAATCACAAAACAACATCTCGACAAGACGACGAGAATCCAGAGAGTGAGCTGCAGATATGCTCAGACAGAGTCAAGTGCGTCCCAGCGTCTCCTGCACAGACACAGTTCTGTGAGTCTTCTAATAGCCTACATGGTGAGCGGAGCAGCGTCCTCAGACACTGACTTGAATCGACATGGATGAAAGAATCGCCCTACGTAGTGGGCTAGAAGATTATGCAATTTCACTGAGCCACAGCCCCGCGTTTCACACATGCACATGAACACATATAACGCGGCTTTTATTGGACCTGCACGGTCCCAGCTGGGCAGGAGGTGGGAGATTTTGTTTTTGAGGGGTGGGGTTGGGGTGGGGGTGAAAGAAACATTTGTGGTTGAAATATTTCTGTTGTCAGCAGTGGCCGCTGGGCTGGTATATAAAGCTTAGTCAAACCTGCAGTCGGGCATTGCTATGCATACCAAGAGACGTGCTGGTGATGAGAAAGCAAGGGCGAAAAAACGCGCTCTCCATCCGCACTGTAGCCTACCACTCCTTACCTTATCTGCAGTGTGGGCAATTTAAAGGGGTACACATCTCCTGCATTGTTCAGCAGCAATGCTGTTGGTCAGTTTGTTTCATGTTTTTGAACCGCAACTCCAAATTAATGGGCTTTTTTTATTGGAGCCAGTTTTATTTTATGTTATTTTTCAAGATGCCATTATCTTAAGGTTGAGTGAAAAACATGAAAAATATAGAAGTGAAAGCATCACCATGACATTTTATTAGACTGTGGCTGTTTGATTCAATTATCCCATGAACAATCTACCAGAAAGAAGACATACTTCTCATTCAGGTGTCTTCTCTGAGCTTTAATGTTGAAATTATTATACACAGAGGCAACAACAATCACACATTCACTGTCTGCCTTGTAATTCCTTTTCCGTTTCTTTTTTACTTTCAGTGCACAGCAGTTATATTTGTAACCTTTCCTGGCAACAAGCTTCATTAATAATAGATAGGAGGGTGACTAAAATAGAGCAAACCCTCCATCACGGTAGCCTGCTGGATTCAGAATGAAGTAAGAACTGATCGATAGTGAATCCTGTCCCCATTATCATCATTGGAGGTGGGAATGAAAGCACCGTGGCCAGAAGTGACCTCCAGAGAAGCCAAAGGTCAGCGGGAATCCCTTGGTCGTGGAGGGGAGGGAGGTGAATGGGGGGGTGGGGGGTGGAGGTGTTAGAGAGGCCAGCGGGATGATTTGTGTGCGACTCAGCTTTGCCAAGGTTACTCCTGGCAGACCTGAGACCAGCACGGCTCCCGGCGTTGTCCCTTCTGTCTGTCTGCCTGCCTGCTGCCACACATGCGGATACCTCTCACTATCTCTTAATGGCTTTCCCAGGTTCCTCATGACAGCACAGCCATTATTTATGAACCAGGGGCCCGTTACAAAGACTGTTAATGCAGGCTCTAAAGCTCAGTTCACTTTGCATTATCTGGCTTGCTTTAATTAAAAGCGAAGGGTCCCAGCACTGTAAACGCTGTACGTGCTTTAATCATTTGGGGACGCGAAAATGGCTGGTTGTGTAAATTGGCCGATGACGGTGTCAATGATGAATTTGTTTCCAAGAGGTATTGATTTCAGGACTCATCCTCCTCTCCATCAGATGTTGTTTTGGCGCAGGGACAGGAAGCAGAGAAAATGAACTTGAGGAATCTGAAGGTTCATTATTAAGGAATGACGGGTCATTTCTTCACTTGATGCCGAGACCTTTTCCTGTTGCAGGTTTATCTGTAGGCGGTCATCCAATCATATGCAACAAGGAGGATTTCAACGTCTTTGGTTAAAATACAAAGTTACTTGACTTGTCCCATCTGAACTTCAGCTGCACACAGTGATTTTCTGCAGTCAGACGACATATATATATCCAGCAGAAGATTTTCTAAATACTTGTGCTGATACAAAACCTGAGCTTTGCTGGTGATAGAAAAAAAACGACACGTATACACAAATGCCTTCCTTTAAGATACATCAACATGCTTTTCTACAAAAGCTTTTTTTTCCATTTAACTAATGACACTTAACATCTTCACTCTAAAACTGGCAAAATTATTAATATTGTTTGTTTTATCTTTTTCTAATGAAACAGAAAGCCAGTGTGGTGAGAGAGAAGGTATGACAGACAAGAGACGTACTCTGAACCAAAGTGAGGAGGTTTCATTTAATGCAATGTGTCTTAAGGGGCTATGTTTAAGTTTTCTCTGCCGCCGCTCTCCAGGAGCAGCTGGTGGTGACTGTCACTTGACAAGAGCTTCCAGTCATTGCTGTGTTTACAAGACAAGAGGTTATAATTCATCCGCTGAGCAGCGCTACGTCTTCAGGGCAGATTGGAAGCTACAGTGAGTCGCTATTGGAAAGTGACGAGACAGGGCAGGGGTTAGCTGGTTAGCGTGCTAACTTCAGTAGATGATATGAAAGAGACAAGAGTTAACATTGGCGTTGCTCTTCACCGCTGGAGACAGGTGAGTAAATGAATTAAGTTTCATGCTGAACGTTTCTTTTAGACTGGTAAGTAAACAGCTGTTAATGTTAATGTTGTTAATACTATGTAGTAAAACTTACAAACAGCTCCTTTAACAAGTAGGTCTCAAAGACACCCCAAATTTCCAAAACATGTGACTTAGATTAAGGGCTGTAAGAGTAAGTAAACAAGACTAAAGATCTGATGCCAGCTTTCATTTGAAATATTTCTCTTGTAGTTCCAATTGAAATATTATAGATATAAATAATAATAGTTCCAAGGCTCGATTACCAACTAGGTAAAGTGAGCAAAAGCCCCAGTTTCACTGCATGCCAGTTTGTTTTTAGTCATTGCATTACTTGACATTTTACACCATTGAAATACAATATGAACTATGGCTGGTGCTGGTGGTTTTGTTGTCATGCCTTAAAATGAGACAATGTGTCAAAGTCTAATTTAAAAGCTTTATTATTCTACTTTATATTGTGCCGACATGGTGCACATTCCCAATAAAGTTGTGTTTAATCAAATTCCCTCAAACGAACACAAAGTAAGCACAGGAGTACTGGCTGCACTGGACTCAATGGGAAGTTTAAAATTGGCAAAATTTGAATTGAAATCAGCAACTATCTGATTAGAGAGCAAGTCGACAAGTCTATAAATCTGTCCGGACATTTAATGCCAACTTTTGGTCCTTGACTGATTTATATAGCACTTGGTGATAAAAACTAATTTTCAGTCGCTACCAAATACATTTCATTATGTGATAAGAGTAATGTTTATTTCTGGTGTGCTGTCTATATATAGCAGAGTATGAGGTGTAATCAATCTGTTATTTTTTCCACCCAGATGAAGGTCCTCTGAGGTCAGCATTTTAAATCAATATGGCTAACTATAGAAAGGCTTTCAGTATACATTTTCTCCTTGATTTGCCTAAAAGTGTCTGAAGAACATTTTGTTTTCGGTGCCGAAGAGTCCTGAGGTTCGATACCCGGCCCAACCAAGGACATGCAGTGGGTCGATGTCTAGTTTGTATATGTAGTCCGTAGTTACAAAATTACTAGAAAATTAGCAGTGCCCAAAGTTCCCATGTGACATGAATATTTATCAGTGGCAAGTGTCGGTGCTGTTTAGCCCAGTCTCTGGAGTGCAGTGCTCTTTTTATGGACGCTGGAGATCTATTGTACCTCCTTGCTCTGAGATACTGCATTGCAGCAGCCACAGGTTTCACACACACACACACACACACACACACACAGAGTATGAAAAGGCTGCAAACAAAATGCTCAGAATTCCAAGATAATGCAACTTCATGACTCCTTATTACAAGCTCAATACAATAGTCAACACAATGCAGTAAGATGGAACAGATGAACTCTGCATATCATGCTCACTCTCAGATTTGCTGCTGCATTAAAACAGATTTTCTGCTTCTAGATATGATGATGCAACACTCTCCTGTGTTCCTCATTTCTCATTAGCAAATTCTCCCATGCAAAAATCATCACCATATTTAATGAGAATCTTATGCTAAAATGATAATATAAAAATGATACTGATACTATATATTCTGACAATTTTCTATTTTCTACCATGTTTTTTTTCCCCACTCCTCTCGGGGGTTTCTAGCAATCCCACAACCTTGCTGCTAAACACTTTTTTATTTCCAATGCATCTTCACTGAGACTCAATTTATTTAACCCTCTGGGAGATGAGTCATTCCAGCATCACTGCTCAGGAGATAGAAAACTGAGGTGCCCTGCAAAAGAGGCCAGGTTAAACACACAACTACGGGAGCGGGCTCGGCAAGTGGAGGCAATGAATAAAAAGAGTGGATTATGTACACAAATATATAGCAATGCAGCTCCCGGTGTCGTCCTCTGTGTCCCCTGGAGCTAAACGGTGCGTCTGAGGCAGAGAATAAAAGAGATGGAGCTAAAGAAGAGAATGACAGGGAAGAGAGAGCAGTGTGAAAAGAGAGGGAGGAG